GTGTTGCTAACTTGCAAAATCGCTACCGGGCGGCGCCGTCTATTTAGTATAATTCGTGCGTGGACCGGTATGCACAAAGCACTCATCGTTATTCAGGAACCGACGGTAGTCGTTGTTGACATCTGCTCGGACTCGCCGCCGCGACTCCGATCATAATCCATGCAGTGGCGTGGCGTGAATTGCGATATCTCGAGTGTTAAGCCATTTAAACCTATGGAAAAGGATTGATAAACAGGGTGTTCGCAGCGAACACCTTAATACTCGATTCTTTACCATAGGTTTAAATGGCAGAACAATCGATACATCGCAATTCACGCCACGCCACTGCTCCGATCATAATCCATGACCCGTGAATAAGCAATATGGAATGAAGTAGAAAGTTAAACAAGCCGAAGAAGCACCACCCCCCCCCCCCCGCCCCCGGGAGGGGGCCAAGCACTAAGAATGTTTATTAATTAGCGCCATCGCCGGGACAAATATAATCCATTCTGAAGCTCGGCTGCCTCACTCGCATCCAGATCAATCGGATGAATGGACTGGATGTAATGAGCGCCGTGCTGAGGAAGAATACCGCAAGAGCATTCGCATGTCGCCAGATTTCCTCGGATAAAATATTTAATTTTGAGAAAAATCATGAATAATTTTGCTTAACATTGGAAGGAGCAAGGGAACGTCGTTTCTTAAATTTTTTAATTCGCATTGATTTTTTAGGAAATTTTGCGATCGCAGTAAGTTTCTAAAAAAATTAATACTTTCACTGTTATCTTTTTGAAAATTCAACACCTAGGCAGTAATTTTCTAGGAAATTCAACATTTGCGCAATAATTTTCATTAAAATTCAACGTTTTTGCATTGATTTTTACAAAATATCAACATCCTTGTTTTAAGTTTTTGTAAAAATCAGTGTATTTTCACCCTTTAGAATATTACCGATTTTTTTATTCATGGAACCGAACGTTTTGTTCATATATTCCGAACTTCTTTCATAGTTCCTCTAACCTCATAAGCTTAGGAATACGAACCGAACGTTCAGTAACACGAACTGAAAGTTGAGTTCGATGAACAAAATATTCGGGATGATATAAAATACCTTGTTTTCCTTCATTTTTGTAGGTATGCAATTGCTCCTCCTTAGAAGTCGTAATAGTTGTACCACACGTTTTGCCTCATCTAACTTTTCTACACATGCGTTAAAGTCTCTCAGTCAGTCGTAAAGATACTATATACATACACATATACATACACATTGAGCTCATATACATTGTTGAGTGCGCACGGGAAAGTCTTGTTGCTTTACAACTGTGACCGGATGTGTGAAAAGGGACCTCGTTTTTCAGGAGAAAATTTCCAAAACTTTAAAATATGCGCGAAAAACAATCGTGGGAAGCGCCTTCAAAACTGTATAGATACTTCTAGCATCGCGTCGTCTCCCCGATCTGTTGTCTCGCTTTCGACTTAACGCATTTCAATCAGCAGTGAACCATGTCATACATACATTCTAATGGATTACAGGTGACCGCTTTCGATTTTACACTGTGATTAAGGGACCTTTAAAGAGATCCTTAAAGTAGAATCAAAAAAAATTTAATAAAGCACAAGTAAAATGGAACAGAATAACTTCGGGAACAGATCCTTGCGAGGGCTTAATATAATTTGCACTCACACGATTTAAAAAGTACAAACGAAAAAATTGTGCAGGTTTTAAAAACGTTAAGATAGGCTCACGCCTGGCTTCACAAAAATTAATAATCATAGAAAAATGAAAATCTTGCAATTTTTTGAGCTACAAAGTGATCCTTAACGTAGCATCATTAGAAGGACAATTTTGACGAAGCTCAAGTAAAGTGGAGCAGAGAAACTTCCGGAATAGGTCCGTGCAAGGGATTAAAATGATTTGCCTCCACACAAAAGGAACGTTTTCGCAGGTCTTTAAATGTTTAGGGTAGGTTCACGCCTACCCTCTTAAAAATGAAATCCTTGGGAATTTAAAGCTTAGAAAAATGAAAATCTCAGACATTTTCCTTTTGTATTCTTGAATGTTTTGAGGTGTCTTGAGCCCTTGCAATTACCTATTTAGAAGTAATCTTGTATACTACTTGAGATTTTATAAAAGTTATCCTTTCTATGATGCTACGATAATGATCTCTTTGAAAATCCCCTAATGACAATGTAAACTGCACACGGAGCTTCTTACGGAAGGAAGCCATTCAGCGGACGACTGTCAGCACAGCCCTGGATTTAATTGCATGTGAAATTCCCTGAAAAGTTTCGTTAAAAAAGCTAAAATTTTCCAGAAAACTATTACTTTATCGAGAGAAATTTGGCAACGTCATGGTGTTCAAACGGCGTTTTTGTATATTCTTTCGGTTTGGGTATTTGAGCGCTAGTAAATCAACCAGATTCGATGGCACTTAAGTGCGCTCTTTATCTATCAGGTTTACGGAGTTGAAGCGGAGTTTAAACTTTCAACGCTTTTTTTCGGTGCGCGTCGGTGGTCACCGGGGAGAGAGTTGGTCCATCAGTGATCGGTGGTCATCTAGTCGGCAATTCACGAAGTTCAGATTAACGGAGCGAGAAAAAAAAGAAGACAAAAAATTAGATGGATTAAGAATAATTGTGGAATAACAGTCCGTGTGATACTCACCAAAAATATTTCCGGAATCCATGATGTATTTAGGTTTTAAACAGCCTAGCTACAGATAGAGTTTTCAACATTTACACCAGGCAGGAATTGAAGGATTTTCGGTAAAAATGCGTTTAAGACTTTCAATGCTGCTAAGATTTTTCGACGGGTATCTATAGTTGTAAGTAACTCATCCGACAGTTCTGCTATGAATGCTTCCCTGAATTTGCTCAAACTTATTCCTCACTTTCACAAGGTTTGCTAGGTGAGTTTTTGTACATTAGGTTAGGATCGCTCGATCAATTGCTGAACTCTTTGGTCATGAGTAGTCATCAGGGGCCGCTCATTAAATGCGTAACCTTCTCCGGGGGGAAGGGGAGGGGGAGAGAGGGGGGTCGAAGAGAGTGTTACACCTTTAACGTGTTCAAGGATAGGGACTTACGCCATAAAAGCGTTACAGGGGAAGTGCGGGTGGGGATCTTAAAATTCAAAATTTAGCGTTATCTTTTTTATGAATGGCCCCCAGGCAAGTCTGAGCGTTAATTTCCGACAGGAACTTTTACATAATACTGCCGTGCTAAGGAAAAACGCCGTATGAACATTCGAGAGTTGCCACATTTCCTCCAAAAGAATGTTTATTTTTAAGGATAAATATACAGGGTGATCCAAAAGTCCCTTCCACCCCCTCGAACTTTTTACCTAATTGAGGTAAAGATTTGAAACTTGGGGGATATTCCTAGGTCAAAGGAAGCTACTTTTTGGCCCCCCTAAAATTTTCAGGGGGGCCCCCCTTGGGGGGCAAGGGCCCCCAACTTTTAATTTTCAAATGGGAAGACCCCCTTTGTGATAGCTCGTTCGAAAGACCATAAAAAAAGAAAACTTTTCGCGCAAATCCGAAGTCAATATCTCAAACCGTTTCAAAATGGCGGCCGGTTAAAGTTCAAAATGGCCGAAAATTCACACCGGTTATTTGTTGATGGATTTGCGCGAAAATCGGTACGTAGGGGTATTTTGACACAAGAAAAACGAATTTGACGTTAGATTTTCAAAAAAACCAAAATTTCCAAAATGGCCGCCGGTTAAAGTTTAAAATGGCCGAAAATTTTCACCTTGGTTTTTTCCTGATGGATTTGCCTAAAACTTGGAATTTGAGAGTATATTGGCATAAGATAAACAAATTTGAACTTAGATTTATAAAAAAATCAATTTTTGGTCATTTTGAACTTTAACCGGCGGACATTTTGGAAATTTTGGTTTTTTTGAAAATCTAACGTCAAATTCGTTTTTCTCGTGTCAAAATACCCCTACATACCGATTTTCGCGCAAATCTATCAACAAATAACCGGTGTGAATTTTCGGCCATTTTGAACTTTAACCGGCCGCCACTTTGAAACGGTTTGAGATATTGACTTTGGGGTTGCGCGAAAAGTTTTCTTTTTTTATGGTCTTTCGAACGAGCTATCACAAAGGGGGTCTTCCCATTTGAAAATTTAAAGTTGGGGGCCGTTGCCCCCCCCCGAGGGGGGTCCCCCTGAGAATTTTAGGGGGGCCAAAAAGTAGCTCCCTTTGACTTAGGAATATCCCCCAAGTTTCAAATCTTTACCTCAATTAGGTAAAAAGTTAGAGGGGGTGGAAGGGACTTTTGGATCACCCTGTATGAATATTTTCTCTTGAAATTTCAGAAAGTATAGATCTAATTACGAAGGAAATTTTCTGAAAAGTTGGACGGAAAATATTCGCAACTTTTCCTGAAAATTCTCATCTGATGAATAGAATTTTGGCAACGGACGGAAGGTTCATACGGCGTTTTTCCCTCGCATGGCAGTACAGGGGAGATGTCACTGTAGGATCTCTACAGTATATTATCTCTGCCCCGAGCGAAGTTCAGTTCATTTAACTCCATCATTTCCTCTGCGTTACACCTTGTGTAATGGTTGATAGCTCAATATATTCGCAAGAAAAATGATTCTTAAATAGCGAATATCCACCGCCTGCGTACGGAAGCTACAATGCCGTGCTAAGGAAAAACGCCGTATGAGCCTTCAGGCGTTACCAAATTTCCCCTGGCAAATCACTAATTATCAGAAAAAAATTTTGAACACTTGCCCACCAATTTCTCAGATAATTTAGTTCGCAATTTTATCTGAAGATTCTGAAAATTTAAAGGAAAAATATTCATAGCTTTCCTTAAAAATATGCATTTCATCCAAGGAAATTTGGCAACTCTCAAAGGTTCATACGGCGTTCTTCCTTAGCACGGCAGTACATAAAATCGTGGCGTGTCAGAAATCGCACGCCGAACCGAAACAGAGCTTTAAAATTGACCAGGAATATCCCACAACTTTCCTTCTTATCACGGTTAAATTCTTATTTTCAGTGGCCATCCGGCACCACCGAACGAAAATCGGAGGCCTCCGAACATCATCAATCACCGATCGGGTTTCTTTATCGGTTATTGTTTCATAAATGCTCCACGCATGTCTTCATCGCGTTGAGGTTGACTGGTGAATAGGCTACCGTGCCGCTCTCCGAGACGGCTTCGCGGCTCCATTCATAACTCCGTATTGTTTATCCCCCGCTCCCGACAATAGGATTTCAATTAAACAATAATATGTATTGATTTGTGGCGCTTAGATGTGTCTCTGGGTTTCGTTTTCTCCCGCCGCGCCCACCCTCCGGCGCCGCACAGTGGAACGGGTCTTTGGGAGAAGCCAAACATGAAATTTTTGAAAAAAATTGTAAAATTTTACGTTTATCTCGTCAAAATGGACCACTAGACAAAGTACGAATTTCAGCATTCTGATACATGCTTCTTGACCAAAATTTCACGAAGAACACGATGCGCACAACGAAAATTACCGAAATCCACTCTTTACGAAGATATTCAATAATTCATGATGCGTGAATTCAAACCACCCGCACATGCAAACTCAATGCTCTCCGTGATTCACATCTCGCGCTAAACGGTTATAATAACAGTCTCTACGATGTAAAAATCTGGCAACCTCAATCTTGACGCTTTGGCTCAGCTATAGCAAATTGCTTATAGTTTGAAAAACACGTGGTGGGAAATGAACATTGCTCGATTGAGAAGATTGCTGAAACCGTTGTAGTGGGCGATTTGACTCACGTAGAGCTTTGAGTTTCTTGTGAGCGGGTAGTTCACATTCCTCGTAACCAATGTGAAATAAAAACATTAATATCTTCGTTAGAAGTTGGTTTTAGACATTTTCGTTGCGCGAATCGTGTTCTACGTGAAATTTTAGTTATGAAACATGTATCAGAATGCTGAAATTCGTACCTTGTCTAGTGGTTCATTTTAATTATTAGGGGTGCTTTCTCGAGAAAATTTTACGAGAAAAGCGATGAAACTGCCTTTCAAACATCAAAATTTCATATTATTGAAGCGATGCTGTTTTAAAGTTTTTAAATCATGTCCAACCTTTCTGATTGGCTCAATCCACTGTGCGCCGGGCACCGTCGAGGACCTGCGTTTCTAGAGGTGCAACGCGACTGGACTCAAAAATATCCGTGATGCATCACCCAGCAAACGTTGTACCCTCGTGAAGATTGCTAAATTGTGGGGGGAAAGGCGACTATTTTACATGAGTTTACATGGGAAGTGCCAATTTCTCAACACCATCTGGCAACACTGTCACGGTAACGTTAAGTGTGCGATTTAAGTCAAGAGGATCATGATTTTTTTGTTTTTCATGTGCGGAAATATGGAATTTATGCATAAAAAACGTTAGCGTCTTTATAAGGAGTTACTTGTAATTTTTATTTTAAAATGCGTGTTTATGTGAAATTATGAGGACAAAACATGAATCACAAAGCTTGAATTCGCACTTTGCCCAGCCGTCCATTGTTCATTTTATAAAGTTTCATCAGGTGACGAAAGTGGCACGGTGTTGATTTTAACGCCTGAATGCAACTATTCGTGATTTTTGGCTGTCCACGTTGCATACTCAAAGCTTTGAAGGCACTCTAGTTTTCTATATCCTCGCACAGCTTTCAGCACAGCAATGCGCACGACACGCTGTTGCAAGTCAGCGCCTGGATGCAACTATTCGACCTCGCGGGCTGTCCGCGTTGCATACCTGAAGATTTGAAGGCGTTACGGTTTTCCTTTTTAGCACAGCTCGCAGCACAGCGATGATTGTGACACGTTTTTGCAAATTTCTGGATGTTACGAACAGAAGTGGCATGTGGCCGCCTTTAGCGTTTGGTTAGTAAAGCTACTGTATAAAGTATAATTACATGTAAAAGAAATTGAATAGAAATTCTCAGATTCTAAGCTTTAATGCGATGCGTTCTGCGTGCGATTGATAAAGAGAAAGCGGTCGATATAAGAAGAAAAAGAGAAAATTGAGATGCCAAAAGAAGAAGAAGGGACGATGGAAGGAATATAATAATAAAAATGAGAGGAGCATGTATGAAAAGAGGAATTGGACGGGAAGAAACGGGGAAGGGAGAAGGAAGACACGGGCAAGGGAAAGAAGAAAAGATGGATATTGAGGATGAGCGAAATTTATGTCATAGATATTTTAATTTCAGCACTCTATTGACCTGTTTGATCCCAAAGCTATATAGACAAAAAATACAAGAGGGATATTAAGGGATCCTCTATCAATTTCAACAATCGGCCCCCAGTCTAAGTTAGGCGTAGTGGTGATTTGTCTGAAAACTTCAATGAAGAGATCAGAGTCATGTTAAAAAATAGAGAGATCTACCCACCGCGCGATCTACTTGCCGCGGTCATCAACAGTCAAAAATGGAGATTTTGCATGTGTGAGGGATTTGTGATTTGACTATTGATTCTTATGTAAAAGTTCGGGAAAAACACGATGGTGCCACTGGTTTTTTCTGAAATCATCTCACAAGCTCAAAAAAAGCTCTCAAAGTGAGCCCAAAATGGAGGGGATATCCCACCCTATACCCTGAGAGTCCACCTCTACATCAAAACAAACTCTCCATGCAAAGTTAGGGAGCAAATGCATTAGCAGGGTTGCCGTGTTCTCAATTTTGGAGTCCCCAAATAAAGTGGCAGCCCTGCCGTATTTGCTCCCTATCTTTGCATGGATAGTTTGTCTTGATGTAGAGGTGGACTCTCAGGATAGCGTGGGATATCCCCTCCATTTTTGCCTCAACTTGTGAGCTTTTTTTGAGCTTGGGAGATGATTTTAGAGAAAACCAGTGGCACCTTCGTGTTTCTCGCGAACTTTTACATAAGAATCAATGGTCAAATCGCAAATCCCTCACACATGCAACATCTCCATTGTTTTGCAATTTTCCGCCGTAATCAGTTCGTGCACAACTTTTTGTTGATTTCCCGAATTTCCATTCACATTCGGTATTCGGTTAGTGCAGGGAAAGTGCTAGGCTCTCAAAGAGCGGCGAGTCGCAGTGACGCCCACTCCTTTACGTCAAGGAGTCTTGTGCTATGATACGAAACCGTCATGCCCAACTTGAACTAAACTAATCAGTCGGTTGTGCGATAATATCTCGGTGCCACGTAACACCACGTAATTCGCCTACTTTTGGGCCCCCGGAATTTTATAATAAATCATAAATTTTGTCGCACAAAACTAGCAGTTATCGAGTTATCTAATGTTAAACATTTTCTTGGTCAAAGATTCCGATTAGATAATGTGTGCGGTTAGTTACATCCGAAACCAACAACCCAGCTCGGTCTCCGCTGGATTTAAAAACCAAGTCCATCGCTGCAAGATGTTAAAATGGACGTATTTATGCGAAAAGGAGATATGTGGAAGTGGAAAGATGGGGTGTGCTCGTTAGCGGTCGGGCCATAAGAATGAATGGGGAATATAAAGCGCCAGTGACGTCAGCGGCAATGAAAACGCGGAGGCACGACGGGGGATCGTCGTCGTTGGTCATTAACTCATGAGCCCTGTCCACAACGCTCTCTTGCCATGCCCGCGGCTCATGAGTTAGCATATTTTGGCGCTTAGCTCCTTTTGATTTAATGTCAAATCCCGCTTATCAATTTTCTCAAAAGGAACTATATCCACTTTTACATTGATTCTTATGACCCAACTAACGAGCACACCCCATCTTTCCACTTGCACATATCTCCTTTTCGCATAAATACGTCCAAATATAACCGCTGAATCTGCATGAATGTATACTACCGTGCTAAGGAAGAACGCCGTATGCGCCTTTAGACATTGCCAAGTTTCCTCCGATAAAAACCGGATTTACTGAGTAAATTGCGACTATTATTTTTCAAAATTTTCAGATAATTTTGTACGCAATTTGGACGTATTTATGCTAAAAGGAGATATGTGCAAGTGGAAAGATGGGGTGTGCTCGTTAGTTGGGTCATAAGAAACAATGTAAAAGTGGATATAGCTCCTTTTGAGAAAATTGAAAAGCGGGATTGGACATTAAATCAAAAGGAGCTAAGCGCCAACATATGGTAACTCATGAGCCGCGGGCATGGCAAGAGAGCGTTGTGGACAGGGCTCATGAGTTAAAGACGCCGGACGGGGATCCCGATCCCGAAACCGTCACCGCACTCACCGCTGACGTCACTGGCGCTTTATATTCCCCATTCATTCTTATGGCCCGACCACTAACGAGCACACCCCATCTTTCCACTTCCACATATCTCCTTTTCGCATAAATACGTCCATTTAATCTAAAATATCTGAAAATTTCAAGGAAAAATATGCATAAATGTTGTCAAAAATACAGGCTTTATCAAGAGAAATGTAGCAACTCTCGAATGTTCATACGGCGCTCTTCCTTAGCACGGCAGAATACGAGGAAGAAGTGAATATTACTACTGAATCTGGCATCGTTGCATAGACGCACTGGATGAATTTGATACTTACGTAACTGCCGGCGCCTCCATGTGTAAATGCATACAAACGGTTTCCTGTTTTGTTTTGGCTCTTGTTTGAGGATTTTTTTCGCTTATAGACTATCGCGTAGATTTATGAGACATAAAACCGATGGAACGCAGCCTTTATTGCTGTTACCTATTTCACTGGTCATCCTTTTTGTATTCTCCTCTCCTCTTGGGTTTGCGGTGTAAAGGTCGTTCAAAATAAGTGGGACAAAAAAGTTCACAGGTCCGGTGCCAAGAAGATGTAACAAACTTCCGACAGCTGCCAATAAGTTGGTGATTCAACTGCTTTTGGACTACCACATTTTTTAGACAGTTCTGATGCAATGTCTGAGGAGAATTGGATTTCAATGCAAAAATCGGAATAGGTTGATTGAACGATTGATGTTTTTGTTGCATTTAAACATTATTCTTTAATTAATTGTGATCAATGTGAACTGGTATTTTTGCTTCTACGGGACCTAAGTGCATCCGAAAATTAAAGAGGATCGCTAAGCGTGGTGCTTAAAAGATGTCGTTGCTATAATTTCTTTACCGTTCATGCTTATTAGACGATTACTTCTGTATAGCAAAAAATCGTAATAAATTCAAATCAACATCAATCAAACAAAATCACTCTTATGAACAATACTATTGTTAAT